AAAAATACCGGGAATGGGGCAAAAACACCAGGAATGAGGCAAAAACACTGGGAATGGGGAAGAACCTGCTGGGAATGGGGAAGAACCTGCTGGGAATGGGGCAAAACAACCGGGAATGGGGCAAAACCCACTGGGAATTGGAGGAAAACACCTGGAATGGCGTAAAACCACCTGGAATGGGGCAAAACCGTGTGGGAATGGGGGAAATCCGCTGGGAATAGGACAGAAACGCTGGGAATGGGGCAAAACCCTTGGAATGGGGTAAAAGCACCCCGGCAATGAGGCAAAACCTGCTGGGAATGGGACAAAATCCCCGAGAACTGCCCCCAACGCGGGAAGGACTCGGGGAAGAAGCGGGAGGCTCAGCCGGGGATGCGGGGGCCTGAGGGGAGCGGGAAAGCCGGGAATAGCGGGGAAGTTTCGCCCCCAAACTCCTCTCTCAGTGTCCCCTCAGGGTCCCCTCAGGGTCCCCGCGGTGTCCCCTCGGTGTCCCCGCGCTGAGTCACGGCCGTGCCGGTGTCCCCGGTCCCCCCGTTGCCGGTGTCCCCTCCCCGTACCTGGCCTGGGCCTCATCCAAGCTCTGGTCGGTGATGGCCATGATCTGCTGCAGGACATCGCCGGTGTCGTGCTGCGCTGGCCGCGCCGCTGGCCCTGAGGGTGGCCCTGAGGGCGGCCCTGAGGGTGGCGGGTCCCCGCTGCTGCCAGCAGCGGGGGGAGGCGCTGGCGGAAGAGACCCCGCCAAGGCCACCCCGGGCATCAGCCGCGGCGCGGCCTCCATGGGCGGGCCTGGAGCCGCGGGGCCGGCGGGACAAATCGCGACAAATCGCGGTAAATCGCCACAGAGCCGCCACAGGACCCGCGCCGAACCGGCGGCCACAGCGCCACCCCCCCCCCCCGACCCCCCCCGCGATGCCGCCGTTGTGGTCACGCCCAAGATTGGCCACGCCCCCTTCCCGCCGCGCCCACGGGAGGCCACGCCCCCTCCTGAGGGGACGCCCTTCCCGCCGTTAAGCGTGGCCACGCCCCCATGGTGGGACGAATTCCCGCCATCGCCGTAGCCACGCCCCCGCTCTGACCACGCCCCTTCTGCCGGGTAATTGCCCCGCCCAATTGTGGCCACGCCCCTTTCCCGCCATTTCCGCCCTGTCGACGCCACCCATCACGTCCGGCGTTGCCATGGCAACTTTAGCCACGCCCACCCAGCGTTAGGCCACGCCCCCGTGTCCAGATTTCTCCCGATTTTCCCCTTTTTTCCACCCAAAAATTTGGGATTTTTTTTTTTGCCCACAGCCCCGTTTTGGGTCATTTTGAGGTTCCGGGGTTGGGTCCTAACAAAGCAGAGCTTTGATACCATCTTTGGGGATAAAAACAGAGGGGGAAATGAAGGAATTAAAGGAAAAATAAAGGAATCAACAGGGAAAATGAACAAATTAAAAGAAAAAATAAAGGAATCAATGGCGGAAATGAAGGAATACATGTAAAAAGAAGGGAAAATGCAGAAATTGAAGCTTTAAAGTTCCCATTAGGGAGCAATTCTAATTTTGGAGAAAGTGCTGTGCTCCAGGTTTGGGTGCTCAGCCTCAGTTTTGCCTGGAAAAATCCCAGAGAATCTGGAAAAATCCAATTTAATCCAAGGAATTCTGCAGCCAAGGTGGGAAAAGTCACCTGGTTCCACTCCAGGGATCCCTGGGAATTCCCAGAACTGTCATGGAAGTTTTCCAGGATCAAGGAAAAAAGAGGGGGGAAAAAAAGTGGGGAAATTTGTCTTTTTCTCAGCATTCCCGAATCCTGGGATTTGTGGAATTTTCAGGGAAAATTCTGCACTCACAATTCCCAATCCCTGCCCTCAGAATCCCCAAATTCTGGGGGATTTCTGAGCTTTTCCAGGGAAAATCCTGCCCCCGATTTCCCAAATCCTGCCCTCGGAATTCCCAAATTCCCAACCCCCCTGCAGGATTCCTGAGCCTTTTCCAAGGAAAAACGACTCCGGGTTAAAACCAGTCTTTAATGGGAATTCTCCTCCAAGGGTTTCCTGCAAAACCTGGAGGTTTCCAGGGAAAAATCCAGTCTGGAGCCCCCAGGAATCCGAAGTTCTCCCAAATCCCACAAAACCACCTCGTTCTTGAGTTTTCCATGGAAATTTGGATGCTGGAGCCTCCCAGGAGTCCAAAATTCGTCTCAATCCTTGATTCACCAGGAGTTTTCCAAGGAAATTTGGATTTTGGAGCCCACCAGAACTCCAGGACTCTCCCAAATCCCAAAAAATCACTTCATCCTTGATCCAACCAGGAGTTTTCCAAGGAAATTTGGATGTTGGAGTCCCCCAGGACCCCAGGACTCTCCCAGATCCCAAAAAATCAGTTTATCCTTGATCCAACCAGGAGTTTTCCAAGGAAATTTGTATTTTGGAGCCCACCAGGAATCTAAGGTTCTTCTCAATCCTTGATCCAACCAGGAGTTTTCCAAGGAAATTTGGATGTTGGAGCCCACCAGGAATCTAAGGTTCTTCTCAATCCTTGATCCCACCAGGAGTTTTCCAAGGAAATTTGGATGTTGGAGCAAACCAGGAATCCAAGGTTCTCCAAAATCCCACAAAACCACCTCGTTCTTGAGTTTTCCAGGAAAATTTCGATCCTGGAGCCCACCAAGAGTCCAGGACTCTCCCAAATCCCAAAGAAATCACTTCATCCTTGATCCCACCAGGAGTTTTCCAAGGAAACTTGGATGTTGGAGCCCACCAGGAATCCAAGGTTCTCCCAAATCCCACAAAACCACCTCGTTCTTGAGTTTTCCAGGGAAATTTGGATGTTGGAGCCCACCAGGAATCCAAGGTTCTCCCAAATCCCACAAAACCACCTCATTCTTGAGGTTTCCAGGGAAATTTGGATGTTGGAGCACTCCAAGCCTCCAAGATGCTCCCAAATTTAAAAAAAAAAAAATCACTTAAACCTTGATCCACCACATTTTTTTCAGAAAAACTTCCACGCCGGAACCCCCCAGGGAATCCAGAATCCTTCTCAACCCCACAACCCCTTCTCCACCACGACTTTTCCAAGGAAAATTCCCACCTCCGAGCCTTTCGGGTCGCACCCAAAAAAATTCCCAAAAAACCCCAAAATCCCCCCAAAAAAAACCAAACCCCTAAATGGAAGAATCGACGGTGAAGTGGCCGTTGTGGGAGTGCAGCCCCCGCTCCGGGGCGGCGTATTTGGAATGGCGGAGGCACGGGAAGCACAGGATCCGTCGGAAGGTGCTCCGCATCTCGTTATCGCGCCACGAGTAAACGATGGCGTTAATGAGGGAGTTAATTTCGGCCAGCAGCAGGACGTACTTCTCCACGGCCAGCACGTCGCAGCTCTGGCAGCCCAGCCCGTCCAGCAGCAGGACCACCTGGCCGGGAGTCCAGCACACCACGAAGGCACCTGGAAAAACGGGGGAAAAAATGGGAAAAATGGGAATTTTTGGTGATTTCCTGGCTGGGATTTCAGTTCTTTATGGCCCAAAGAAATCTGGGATAAAATTGTTCCATGGAATCCCAATGGGTTTCGACCTTTGAGAGAAAAAGATCCAGGAGAGCACAAAGGCACCTGGAAAAACGGGGAAAAAATGGGAAAAAATGGGAATTTTTGGTGATTTCCTGGCTGGGATTTCAGTTCTTTATGGCCTGAAGAATTCCAGGAAGAATTCCATGGAATCCCCCTGGGAATATTGGGAGAAGAATGAGATGATGGAAAAAAGATGGAAAAAAGATCCAGGAGAGCACAAAGGCACCTGGAAAAAAAGGAAAAAGGGGGAAATAATGGGAATTTTTGGTGGTTTTCGGTCACTTCCTGAATGGGATTTCGGTTCTTTATGGCCCAAAGAATTCCGGGATAAAATTCAGCACGGTGTCTGTCACGTGGTGCACACCTCTGTTATCTAATTAACCGCTAATTAACCACCCACTGGGGATGATGATGACCAGCCCACCAAGAATGACGATGACCAACCCAATTCTCCTAATTACCACTAATTAACCATCTACTGAGGATGATGATGATGACCAACCCATCAAGGATGATGATGACCAACCCAACCAAATATGACGATGACCAACACAATTAACCCCTAATTACCGCTAATTAACCATCCACTGAGGATGATGATGACCAACCTACCAAGGATGACGATGACCAACCCAATTCTCCTAATTAATCCTAATTAACCATCTACTGAGGATGATGATGACCAGCCCAATTAACCCCTACCGAGCCACCCACCCAGGATGATGGTGATGGTCTTGACCAGCACCAGCACGGTGTCACGGTACCGTGGGTGCGCACCTCTGTTACCCCCTAATTAATGGCTAATTAACCACCCACTGAGCATGACAATGACCAACCCACCAAGGATGACATGATGACCAATGCAACTAACCCCTAATTACTGCTAATTAACCACCCACTGGGGATGACGACCAACCCACCAAGAATGACGATGACCAACCCAATTCTCCTAATTATCACTAATTAACCATCTACTGAGGATGACGATGACCAACCCACCAAGGATGACGATGACCAACCCAATTAACCCCTACCGAGCCACCCACCCAGGATGATGGTGACGGTCTTGACCAGCGCCAGCACGGTGTCGCGGTGCCGCGGGTGCGCACCTCTGTTACCCCCTAATTAATGGCTAATTAACTGCTAATTAACCACCACTGAGGATGACAATGACCAACCCAATTAACCCCTAATTACCCCTAATTAACCACCCACCAATGATGATGATGACCAACCCACCAAGGATGACATGATGACCAATGCAATTAACCCCCAACTACCGCTAATTAACCACCCACTGAGCATGACAATGACCAACCCAGCAAGGATGACAATGACCAACCCAATTAACCCCTAATTACCGCTAATTAATCACCCACCAAGGATGATGATGACCAACCCAATTAACCCCTACCGAGCCACCCACCCAGGATGATGGTGACGGTCTTGACCAGCGCCAGCACGGTGTCGCGGTGCCGCGGGTGCGCGCCGGTGTGCCGCGCCATGCGCGCCATCCTCCTCCTGACGTAGACGAAGATGTGCCCGTAGACCACCACCATGACCAGGAAGACCACCAGGTTGGAGACGGCCCAGAAGGTCAGGTAGCTGCGGCTGTAGAGCGGCGCCATCCTGGAGCAGCTCTCCAAGGAGCACAGGCAGTGCCAGCCGTAGGACGGGATCAAGCCCAGGAGCAACGCCGCCGCCCAGATGGAGAAGATCAAGCCCACCACGCGCTGGGCGGACATCTCGCTGTGCAGCTGCATGGTCAGCACCGTCCGGTGCCGCTCCACCGCGATGGCCAACAGGTTGACCACCGAAGCGGTCAAGCTGGTGTCCAGCAAGCTCTGACGGATGAACCAAGTCTTGAGCGACAACTGGGCGGTCCTAGGCCCGGTGTGGAACATCAAGAACATGTAGGCCACGCCGGCGAAGAGGTCGGCGGCCGCCAGGTTGGCCAGCAGGTAGTAGATGGGGTAGTGGAAGCGGCGGTTGGTGGCCACGGCGGCGATGACCAGCAGGTTGGTCAGCAGCACCACGGCGCTGACCGCCAGCCCCAGGGCCACCACCAGCACGTCCTTGGGCCGCCATGTCGCGCTCAGCTCCTTGCGGCTGTTGTTGTAGAAGAAGCCGACGGTCTCGTTGTAGAAGCAGTGCTTCATGGCGGGGGGCCTGCCGGGAGGTTTGGGGGGAAAAATTGGGATTTTGGGGAAAATAATAGATGGGGGGG